TGGAGCCTTGTGTGCCATGCTGAGGAGCTAAAATTTTATCCTAAGAAAGATGAGAAACATTCAGAGAGCTTTCTGGAATGGAATGGAAGTGAGGTGGCCATATGTCACAAATGGATTGGAAGGGGCCAGACTGGAGGTAGGGAGACTGGTTAGGAAGTTAATGTGGTCCTCTAGAGGTGATGTGACCAGGAAGTAGGGCAGTGGGAGTAGGGATGGAGATGAGAGGACAGCTTTGAGAAATATATACATTGAAATTTGGCAAAGAGAGGTTAATTAGGTATAAGGGAGAGAGATATTCAGAAGACCCCCAGATTTTCAATGTGGAGTTGCCACAAACTGAAAGGTAAGAAGAGGTCTGTGTTCAGGTAGTTATGGATTCAAATCAGGCATGTTGAGTTAGAGTGCATGAGGCTGGTGGAACAGACTCACAGGTAGATATATGAATCTGAAGATAGAGAAAGGTCTGTGCTATGTATATGGTGAGTATGCATAACAGTTTAAACCAGAGGTTCTCAACCTGTGGGTCGCGACCCCTTTGGGGGTCAAACGACCCTTTCACAGGGGTCGCCTAAGACCATCGGAAAACACATATATAATTACATATTGTTTTTGTGATTAATCACTATGCCTTAATTATGTTCAATTTGTAACAATGAAAATACATCCTGCATATCAGATATTTACAATTCATAACAGTAGCAAAATTACAGTTATGAAGTAGCAACGAAAATAATTTTATGGTTGGGGGTCATCACAACATGAGGAACTGTATTAAAGGGTCACGGCATTAGGAAGGTTGAGAACCACTGGTTTAAACTATAAATGCATAGTACTTAAGTCACTCAAGAAATTATGGGGAATGAGAAGGGAAATGGGCCAGGACAGAACCCAAGGGAATACCAGTATCAATGGGGTAGGAGGAGGAAGAGGGACCTGTGATAGAGACAAAGAAGGAAGATGAGAAACATTCAGAGAGCTTTCTGGAATGGAATGGAAGTGAGAGACACAGGGACCCAGGAGAATCCCTTACTGCTTTGTGCCTCTCCCCTTCCTAAACCTTCTACCTAAGCCCTCTGGCTGTCCTATTCCTTAAAAGCAAGTTCCTTTATATCCTTAACTCCCCATACAGCTTTGCTCCTGATCCCAAAGCTTCCAGCCATCCCTCCTCTACCATCCTGTAGAACTCCTACCTCTTTGAGGTTCATGCACTTCATTTATAGAGCCTTGACCTCCTTTCCTGATAATTCTGTTTATCTAAGACTCTGGCATCTACATCACCATTTTTCTCTCCATTCCAATGCTACCATCATGTAGGATGAGCCATCACCAAGTCTCATAGTTCCTAGATGCCCTCACCTACAGTGACTCTTCACTTTCACTCCAGCCTCCCACTCCGATGGTGACTCCCAGGAAATGGTTAATACCTGGCACTACTTCAGTTATGTGGGAATAAACTTCACATCCTACTCTGACCACAGCCAGCTCTCTCACCTCTTTCCCTACACTTGCTCTCACTTTCCTTAGATTCCTCCATTTTCTTCTGACCTGTTGATCCCCTAATGACCTCTCTTCCTTCCTTACCCAGGTTAGACTCTGGCTGTTCATCTGAAGTATTCTTTCCCAAAACCTTTGCTTCCTTTGCACCCCCCGTTCTTCCCTCACCCCTGCCCAGGGCAACTCTCTTCTCAGAAAATGGGACCCCATACAGAGCGACATCATTAGAGATTCACGGTCTTCACTCTCTCGTCCCTGTCATTCTTCATCACCACAGAAAACATAAGCCCTTCCCATGGGGAAACAGGGAAATTTAAGCAATAGTCAAAAGCCCAGTCTCTCTCTCCCGAAATAGCTTCTCCACCTACTCTTGCTGGATCTCCACAGATGTCCGTGGTACCACTCTTGACTGCCACTTACCACCTTTATCTTCACCTTGGGCAAGTAATTTAACCTCCTTGAATCCTAGGGAACTGCCTCTACCAGTACCACAGACCAGAACTCAGGAGTGTGAAGGCCCTGGGGAGAGCAGGAACTTCAGAATGCCACATCCATTCTGTAAGAGCAGCTCTTCCTTAAGAGGAAGTCATTGTGAGAACACAATGAATAGTAGCCACATGGGTATTTCTGTTGAAGAAAGAAGAATTATGCCATCACCCCCTTTGGCACAAAAATAATTGTCAGTAAAAGGTTAAAACCATCATGTTGTATCAATGAGAACGATGCCATTATTCCAAGAATGATTGATTGGAAAGTACTTTACTTGCAGGAAAATCATAGTGATACAATACAGCTTCCACTTTTAAAGCACTTTCCATTAAAAAAATTATACCTATGTCTAAAAATAGTTATACTGAAGATGTGAATCAACAGCCGAGTAATTTATTGGCACTTGAAAGCCCTGTGGTATAAACAGATTCAATACAATGGGACTATCAAGTAGCTCTGGCTGTGGCAACCTAACCTCCATGTTCATGACAAAAGAAAGTGACTTGCAGTTCAGAGAGGGTCACCTGGCCACCTTGGAAGAGAACACAATGGAACAGGACCAATTGGTCAGGTCAACGCAAAGCACTGAGTGACACAGTGAGAAAGAGGGGACAGAGATGTGGTGGCTGCCCTCAGTTTTCAAAGTGTCCCTGACTGTATGCAGGCCTGTACACAGGATAGTACAATGTCCCAAGTGTCCTAAGAGGAGTGCAAAGGAAGATGAGCTATTAAAAGGGAGAGAGAGAAACCAAGATGGCGGCATAGGGAAACACCGGAAATTGCTGCTTCGCACAACCACTTCAAAAATACAACTAAAAGACAAAACAGACATCATCCAGAACCACAGGAAGGCTGGCTGAGTGGAAATTCTACAACTAGAAGGAAAGAGAAAAGCACACTGAGACTCAAAGGAGGTGCAGAAGTAAAGTGCAGAGGTACGGAGGCACACGTGGAAAGGGCTGGCAACTGAGGACACGGTTGTCTTTTACAATCGGGAGGGAGTCTCAAACTCCCGACTGCTCTGAACTCCAGTTCCGGGCGAGTCTCTGGGGACCCAGACTCATACGGAGAGAAACTGGACTGTTTGGCATTGGTTGGAACTCGAGGCGGCTTTCTCTCAGAGGTGCTTGCAGTGATTACCAGGACACTGAGACCCGGGGCCTCTTAGAGTAGGACTGAGGAGCAGCCATAGCTGCTTGCTCCGCCCTGTTGATCCCCTGAGACCCCGCCCCACCCAAGCTGTGTGCAGAGGCTTTTGCATATGAAAGGCCTGGCCCTTTGCAATCTGAAAATTACCTAACAAACTGCAGCTGGGTCAGAGAGACCCAGAACTTCCAAAAGGCCCAAGGCCCCACAGCAGCTTGAATTTGTCCACAGCTGGGCCTCATCTGGGCACCTCCAAACCCCAAACAAAGAAGAGGAATCTGCAGATCTCTCCATAGCTCCTGCTGGGTAGCCTCAAGCAGAGGCAGTTTTATTGTTATATTTCTTAGATTCATATCTGGAATTTAATTTTGTATATGATGTGAGAACTAAAACTTGGAATCTTAGAGTTTGCCATGACTCTTCATATCTTGTGGCATTTTCCATATTTTCATAATACATTCTCCATCAAACTGATAATTTCTCTGGCTCCAGACCTTTCTGTTGTCGCACTGTTGTGCTGTAACCTGAGGGAAGGCAGGAACCATGTGTGTCTCTTTCTCTATTGTTTCCTTCAGGAAGGACCAAACACTTGCAAAGCACCTAGCAGTGCCTGACACAGCTTAGACGCTCAGAAAACATTAACGGGAGGAAAGAAAGTGTGGAATTCATACCTGCATTACTATTGCTGCTTGGCGAGTTTAATATTGTTTGCTTTATGTGTAAACAAGGGAAAATGTCATTTTCCTTAAAGCCATTCACTGTCTCATGAGCTCACTCTGTTCCTTCCTCCTCCTGGGTCTTCTTCCTTCCAGGCTTTCCTTCTCTCTATAAATCTGTCTCATTCCATAAGGACTCCCTTCTTCACAGAGCCCTTCTTCAAAACCTTTCTTAAAATATAAACTCGGCCACACTATTTAGCAGTTAATCCACAATGGGTTATACTCCTTCTCTAGTACCCATCACTGCGCTGCACCCAGCTCATGAAATACGGCAGCTGCAACCGAAAAAGTCTTGCATGCCAAGGCCTCTATTAAGGCTGAAGTATAGCTTCAAGATTTGTAATGAAAGCTCTTGGGTAAAAAAAAAAAAAAAAAAGCCAGCAAACTAGAAAAAACTGGAAAATGGCCCTGAATGCTGTTAAATACCAGAATGATTTTTCAAAGTGAAATTGTGTAATTACATTTAATTTATCTAAAATGCATTTGTTAGCCCTAGCCTGGTGTGGCTCAGTGGTTTAGCATCAACCCAGGAACCAAGAGGTCACTGGTTTGATTCCTGGTCAGGGCACATGCCCAGGTTGTGGGCTTGATTCCCAGTGGGGGAGGCATGCAGGAGGCAGCCAATTGATGATGTTTCTCATCGATATTTCTCTCTCTCTCCCTTCCTCTCTCTAGTAATCAATAAAAACATATTTTTAAAAAACAACAACAGACAAATCCTAGTTAAGGTACATTCTACAAAATACCTGACCAGTTCTCAAAATGATCAAGGTCATAAAAAATGAAGAATGCCTAAGAAACTGTCACAGCCTACAGGAATCTAAGGAGACGTGATAACTAAGTGTAACACGGGATTCTAGATGAGATCTTAGAACAGAAAAGGACATTAAGCAAAACTAGGGAAATCCAAACAAATATGGAGTTCAGTTAATAATATGTCGCTACTATCGCATTAGTGTGACACGTGTACCACAGTCATGTACTTACAGAACTGGGTGTGGGGTATATGGAAATTCTCTTGTCATATCCTTGTAACTTTCCTGTAAATCTAAATCTATTCTAAACCAAACGTGTACTTAAATACTTTAAAAATAAAAGTTTGGGGGAAAGATGACTACATGCTTATCTCCACAACTGTACTTTTAATTGCAGGGTGCTGGCGACAGTTTCGTAGGAGCTTTGGCCTTCTACCTGGCTTACTACCCAAATCTGTCCTTGGAAGAAATGCTCAAGAGATCCAATTTCATCGCAGCAGTCAGCGTCCAGGCTGCAGGGACACAGTCATCCTATCCGTACAAGAAGGACCTGCCACTTGATTTGTTTTGATTGCTACTAACTCAAACATAAAAATACCTGGAAATAAAATGTTCTTGAAGGTGGCCAGTCTTAATTAGCAGCTTACTATAAAATGTCCTCTTCTCCTTTCTTTGCAAATATTTTCATTTACTAAGTCATCCTCAAGCTTTCATTCATTTCTTTACAATGATTGATTTCCTTGCTTTTCATGCAAGAGCTAACCAGAAGTAAGGACTCCATGCATGACCAGGACCTTGTACAAACATTACTACTACTCGAGAACTGGCAAACTCTACTGGCAACAGGTCAGGAACACTAGCAGAGGTTGTGGACAAGGGTCAAGTCAGAACAGAAAATGTTAAACAAGGGAATGGGGGGTTATGGATTGGACCACTCAAGCAGTTCCTAAAAGGGGCGGCTGATATTCAGCTTTGGCTTTAGTGTTGTCAAAGCTTCTGGTTTTGCAAGAAAAGCCAGAAGTTTTGGATGTTTATTGAAATCTTTGAATGTTTTAAGTGTCAGCAACTTTTTTTTTAATGTAAATACCACCTGTGGGCCACATTCAGCCTACGTGCTGAATAGACAAGTCACTGGTTAAGCCAGTATTTAAGTTTTTGTTTTGTTTTTAAAAATGCAACTCATGCATGTCACAGACCCTTTACATTGGGCTTAACAAGTAAGATCAGGTAGAAGATTTTTCTTGTAACCCAACACCATTATGTATAGTTCCAATCTAAAAATAGCCAAGATCGCACCTATTATTGCTTTGAACCAGAGCTTTAACAAAAGATGCCACAAAAGAGCTGACTATCATGCCACAAGCCTCCGAGACTCAGCAAGAATCCACATCTAATTCCATTTCCAGAGCGCTCCTCTTGCATTTCCTCAGGAGACACAGATTGGGCCTGGGAGGGAACACCTGTTATTTTGAAACAGTATTGGTTCCTTAATGCTGGTAGTCATGGTGGGCACTCTCATTCTCCCACATAAATGCTTTAAATGGGGTAGGATATGAACCAGGAGAGCTCAGAAAATGAGCTGATCCTTACCTTCAGCCAGAAATTCGACAAGTAAAGAAGAAAACTGGGCAATTTTGAAAATCTGTGGGAAACAATAGCTTGAGTGAGAAAGTACATAGCTCTGGGCAGGGCAGGAGTCTTTATCTGAACATTAGGGACTGTCAGTGGAATTTCCAAGCTGGTTAGCTGTGTAGTAACACCAGGCCCCCACGGCCTTCACTCTAGCTTATAGAAATAACATAGAATCTCTTATTTTATATT